ATGCTAACTAAAGAGGAAAGCCGTGTTAGCCTGTCATATCCCGAGACAAGGAAAGAAGATACAAATTACACACCGGACTCAGACATGGCAGCCAGATCGGTGCAGATGCGCCTGAATTCAGCCGATGGCAGAGAGATTGTGGCGGCGTAGTCGGTTTCGGGGATACCCAAGTGCTCCTGGTCAATGTCCATGAGCTTCAGGTCATACTCGCTGATTCTGTCGTTCTCGCTGCTCTCAAAGAGAATGTTGAGTACATCGGGTGCATCCTCGGCCTTGAGGGTGAGGATGTCTTCGTTCTGGGCGGCACGGAGAACCTTGGTCAAGGATGTGAGGTTCATTCCCAGAGCAATGTTTCGGTCACATCGGTAGGGGTGGAATGCATCGGCCTTCAGCAGCATAGAAACAAGGGCAACGTGGGAGTTGTCCATTGCCTGGAGCGCGATACCAGAGTCATTGCAGTCGAAGTTGCAGTCCTGGACCAGGTCCTTGATGGCGTCGACCACCTACGGATAGTAACCGCGTCAGTCATTGCCATTTGGGGGAGAGGGGGGGAACGGCGTACCTTCTTCAGAAGAGCGGCTTGTTCGAGACGTGCTTCCAACATTTTCTTCTCTCCAGTGTCAGCGGTGGCGGTGTGCGAGGGGGAACACAAGCAGTACTCACTGCGATTTATTAGATTAAGAGGAAGTTTCGGATGAGGAATATGTGCAGGTAGGAACAGCAGAATGTTGCGGCGTCGTCGAAGTTGATAGAGAAGGCAAAACGGTGGGCTGGAGGAGGAGATGGTAGAGATTATGTGCGAGGGTTGTCCAAAGGCACTTTACGCGAGTGAGGGGAGCTTTGGTGGGTTCAGACGCGTCGGCCATCAAGCGACGCCAATTAGGCGCGTGGATTGCCACTGAGCCACTGAGGGGCGTGTGTCTGACTAACCTCACCCAACCTCAGCTCAGCCTACCTCAACGAACAAGGCGTTTTTTCTGGGAAAGTACAACGATCAACTTGAATACTTATTATCGACTCTAAGTGATATGACAATACCATTCGCAGACTCGAAGATCAAGCAAGATGATACTGTTCTGGGGTATCAATATCAATGTCACTAGACTTGCCTCCCATCTCCAAGCTGGAGTTTGATGCCTACTATCAAGCCTGTCTCATTAGTAGCAGTACGGTGATTTCAGTCTCACATGGTCATCCCCCTTTCAAAACTAGGTGAATTTCTCTCGAGTCACCACAATTTATTCAAAAGATAATTTCATGTCTTCAATCTATGCCTACATTACAAGATTGGAAAAATCCTATCAATGATACAAATTGGCCAGTAATTCCAACTCCCATGATGAACCATACCAAAACCCCAAGACTCATCAGATATGTAAGTATATATGACTCCATAGCGTGGGTAGGAGAATAAGAAAGGATGAGAAATGATTAGCGAATAGAACTCCGCTTTCGTAACAGAACGCGGGGGGAAGAGAGAGACAGCGTGAAATGAACGAAATAATACCAGAAAAAGAAAAACATATAAAGAGAGAAAACATTAGATTAATGAAAGTCGATCGCTCGCCGTGCGCCTCTAAGTATGCTTGATAGTTGCCCATGATGCCTGTTTATTTGTCGTAAAGAAATACAGAAAATTGATTGGTGGCGCTCTCAGAGGCGTAAGAAAAGATAGCGTACGTGCTGTGCTGTTGAATTGCCTGGTCTTGCCAAGCTCATCGTTATTAATCAAATTGATGTTGTTGTTTGCTGTCGTCATCATTCATATCTGATCAACGTGCCTCAGAAATGGCTACATTGATACCACCCGACCGCCCATTGACGATCTTTTGCTGCTAGATGGTCGCAGGTTGATCACAGTTTCCAACTCACGAAGCATGCCGCGAGTGGCATCGATCTGCTGCTTCGCTCGAGCCTTGTGTTCTCGCTCGTCCTTCATCTTGGCTATCCTCTCCTCTCTGGTGAGCATACTGCGTGGTCTGGGCCGAGCCACGGCTTCGAAAAGCTCCGGTTCCATCTCCAGTGTTTCATGAGTATCTGAAGCTGGTGGTGACTCCCCAGTCAGGGCTTTGAGGGCTGCCGCCGCGTTGCCTTCCTCCCCTACCGTTGTCAGTCCACTCAGCGAAAGGGTGGGTGATGCGAGGGTGCTTATTGACGAAAGTCTCTTTTCGTTTCTGTCAATGCCCTGAGCAAGTGCTGCTTTGCCCTCCTCCCACACCGACATCAGTTCTTTGAGATCTGCGCCGATTGTCTCGTATTGGGTCATAAGATTTGGGCCAAGCTCTGAAATGTCGCTCGAATCATTCAGTGCCCTATCCGACTCCTCTCTCAGCAATTGTAGTTTAGCTTGAAGCCCTCTAATTCCAGTACCCAGGGAATTCAGCTTATGAAGCTGAGACCTCCACCGCTCACGTCCAGGTGTAAGTGGCATCTTCTGAGTGGTAGGAGATGGAAACGCTAATCGTCGGGTTAGTTTCTATTTTTTTTTCCCCAAGAAAAGTGAAACAAAAAATGTACCATCCTCTCTCTTGGGGTCTTGAATGGAACTTACACTCTTCCTCGCTGAGAATCTCCCGGAGTCTTTTATGCACTTTCTCCGTAAGAGAGTTGACACTTCGGAGAGTCTCAACCGCATTTGACCATCGCTGCAAGTCCTGGCTCTCCCCACTCGCATCAAGAGCGAGCAACGCACACAGAAAGATCTTGCGGACTGTGTGGAATCGACTTGCGACGATCTTCAAGGTTCGCAACGATTCGGTGTCGTCAAACTCCTCCAAGTCAAAGCCTCGGTTGGCATCTGATATGTCGAAGTCGCTAATCTCATAGATGTCAAGGTACTTTTCGAGATCAGTTTGCTCTGAAAAGGCCTTGACAACATTGGACACCTGGATGTACTCTTCAAGAATGTCGACAAACGAGGCCTTCAAGGCCTTTCGCAATCGCACACACTTTCGGCTCTGGGTGCGATCCTCGAGGCGGCTAACAGGGGGAAGAGGTGCGCTACTACATGCGATATTAGCATCAAATATTCTGCTGCAGCTGGCATCCTGGCTCACTTACATGCGGTAACCACGTGAGACCAATTCCACCTCCTGGATCAAGCTCAATGCAGCAGTTGTCGCGCTGTCAAATTCATGCGAGTTTGATACGAATGCGGAAATTTCGGAAAGAGATTGATCTCTCCTATACCGCAACCACTGTCTTCGAATGTAAACCTGACCAAGAAGCAGCCCGGCAGCCCCAATGACTATGAGGAAAACAAGTCGTTTTCGAGTGATGGAAGATTGCCCGCTCCCTAATACCCAGCTCAAGATGATAGCAAGGGCTAGCGCTGCTAATATAGAAGCTAGAACGCCTTCTGTTGAGTAAATCGAATTGAGTCCAGGCGAGGAGGCGGCATCGGCGAGGCTGGGGGCTGGCTGATGTTGTCCCAGGATGGAATGGCCACTGAGTAGTTGGGAGGCCACAATAGTGTATCGGAACTTCTCAAGAAACTTGGAGTTATCGGCACGGTCGATCCTTGCTGCAAAAACGGCCTGCACGGAACACCACGCATTAGTCTTGCCTCCTTTCCTCGTCCAACGTGTGCACCCAAAATCCCGAGCCGGACTGACCGAGTAATGTTTCCTTATAGATCGCATCGACGGAGCGTGCGGTAAAATGAGCTGGGGGATATCGTGGGCATCCTTGCGAAACCGAGCCTTCACAAAGGGGCGGCCAGTGGGAGCAAACGGCGACGGGCTGGGAGGAGGTGACGAGTTCGGCGAGGTTGAGGCCGGTCGATCCGAGGAATTAGCAACAGGCGCCCAGTCGTCTTCCGATCCATCTGCACCATCTGTACCCAGGTTAGCTTGCAAGACTGATGAATAAGGCCGTGTGTTGCGCACCTCGAAGGTAGTCGGCTAGTGGCGAGTCCTCATATACGATCGGCTCCATCTCGAAGGCGTGGATCAAAGTTGCAAAGGGGAAGTGGTCGAGGAGTGAATCAAAACTCGCCTGCCATCGAGTCTTGAAGCGATCTGGAGGTCCCCAAGTCGACAGCATGAATAATTGTCTGCTCCGGAGCGTTGATGGCGATTGCGAAGAACGGAGCTGTGATGTCGAAGTAGCAAGAGGAATGCGGAGTCCACGTTAGACACCGGCCGTTTGCCCTGAGAAGCCCGAGCGTTGAGTTAGACCAACAACAAACAAGGTTTCCCTTTTCCCATCGGCGTCAGCGATTCCTTCGCTTATCTTCGACACCCAAGTGACAGGAAACGAGCTGATTAGGGTGCTGCCAAGCTGTATTACTAGATACTACATACATATTATTAGGAGGGCACTCCTTCCTGCGTCCAGCACCTGCATCAGGAAATTGCATAACAAAGGGCATTGCATGCGTCTGGGGTGGCCCCGGGTCTTCAGGCCCAATTAGGACTAGCCGACCGCGCAGTCGCCAGTGGTTTGGGAAGGTGGCCAGGTGGCTCCAACATGTGGCTCGGTCCGGCATTGAGCAGCACGCGTCCCTCAAGCCTCAAGAACCGGGCTCCAGCCACATCTCGGAAAATATATTCTCCCGAGCTCACCCTCTTCCATTCCCCGGCTTGCCACAACGGTACGCACTAATCATGTTAGTAGCGCGGTGATAATGCAACCCCAGTTATTGGCTGGCGGCGCCTGGCAGAAAGCATCGACACGATTAAAGCTCATGGACGACCCGAAATGGAACTGAAACACCGGCAACACTGACGACATCCCTCTCTTCGACGATCCAAGAGCTAGAGAATACCAATTGCGCTCATCGGTAGCAGCGGCCTAGGCCAATGCCTCTGGCACCCGCGGCGCGATGTCGTCGCTCGACCCGGCGGCAGCCATCTGCCCCCCAAGTCGCCGCAAAGCTGCTCGACCTCGCGACCTGCCGAACCGTTGAGGCCCAGCAACGCAGACCCATCAGCTTCTGTCGCTGCTTGAGCTCACAGAAGGGGCCTATCGAGAGACGCCGGCTGCTGGGGAAGCGCCACATGACGGGCATAATGGCAGAACCCGTCACATACAGACCTTCCTGGCATTTCGAGGTTATCAACGACCCGACCGAGTGGCAATGGGAACCTCCCACGACGCCCGAAACTCGACACAAGAATAATGCCAAAGTTAGTGTAAAAAATCTCAGTGGGAAGCTACTCCGGTGGCTCGAAGCTTCGGATATGGATAAGCCGTTCCTCGACCCGCCTTCAGAAGTCCTCGACTCGCCAACAGTCCTCGACTCACCAGCAGTCCTCGATTCGCTAGCGGTAACTGAGTCGCCAGCAGTCCTCAACTCGCCAGCAGTAGTCGAATCGCCAGCAATAACCGAATCGCCAGCAGTAATTGAATCGCCAACAGCTGAGCAATCGATCACTGTACCTTCAGCCGATCCGGTCACGATTAATAAAGAATTGCATCAACTACGATCTGCCATATGCGGGTTGGAAACGGTTACGAAAGCCTCTCTGTGGCCCCTCAGAGACCAATTCATACAGAACTTGATTCGCAGGATTAAGTCCGGGGATATCACAGTCGAGGACCTGGTCGAAACGATGGTACCTGTGGATGCGGCCACCCTCGCACACATCCCCGACCCCCTTTTTGTTCACAGCGTCATCTTGAACACCCGAAGAGCCATCATCACAACGCTCTCCAACTTACGACGCAAGGATCGCAGAGATGATTATAGAGAAGCCTGGGCGGCGGTCTTGAACGATTCACTGGCGGCGACAGCAAATGGCACACGCTTCCGGACTCTCGCACTCATAATCGAATACGCACAACCCAAGGACAGAGACCTGGTGCCTGTTGACCGGCTTGTTACGGGGCTCTACGACTTGATCCGGTCAATGGTGGCATCATCATCGCCCATGAAGACAGGTAGGCTGGTGGATGTCGTACAACTTGCCCGGGCGGTGCAGCTTCTCAAGCCTTCTATGAGAGAAGCCGTCGGCCAGAAGGTCGAATCTGCCCTTGCCGAGACCTTCGATGCTGGCCTAAGTTATGACTACCGATACTGGTGGATGCTCTTCAAGGCACACTACACCCATATATCATTTTCCGAATTCGAAGAGGCCGTCAATTCCTACTTGGGAACCGACAAACGGCCAAACGATCACCAATCCTTGTTACTGATATCGGCAAGAATGTACGCCGATGGCTGCTTGCATAAAGACCCATACATATCATTTACCCGTCAGATTCGCGGTGGCTACCAAGAAAAACACTGGTCGACCCTAGCTGGAAAGGTCATTCAGTCGAGAGGCCACGTTGGCCTGACGAGCTTTTGGTGCCATTTGGGCGCTCTCAAATGGGATGTTCGTTTCTTTGAGGCGCTCATCGCCTGCTCGTGGCAGCGCAGCACCAGACAGAACACGGAACGTGTGATCAAGGCCATTGTCTCCAACCCGCTTATCCCTTCGCTCAGATTCTGGCTCGCCCTAAAGGATGAAAAGAGCAGAATCATGACCCCGGAGCCCACATCCACCAAGGCCAGTGACGACCCCGATGATGGGCTTATAACCAAGGAGCATCTGATGAAGCTGGTAGACAAGATTGCTTGTTGGTACGAGACCGCCCCGGACCTGTCCAATCGCATGGCCTTCCGCGGAGTATCCCGCTGCATCCGATTTCAAACCGAACTGTCCGGTCGACCGTCGGCGACGGTCCTCAGTGCCATGACAAATGTAGTTACAGCAAGCCTGCGCGAAGGGCAGCCAGCACCAGCAAAACGTTTGCAGCATTATCTCGCAAACATTGTTGCTCCGAGCCAAGGGCTGGAAGTTGCTCAGGATTGCGGTAATACTCTAGACTCATGGCAGAAACAAGCCAGTCTAGAGGCAGTATTAAGGGGAAAGCGAAGAGAATAATAGAGTAAATAAAGTGTTTCATAGAAGATTCATGTCAGTAAAGAAAAGAAAAATGCTAAAGATTCGGACAAATGAAATGGCTAAGTCGTGGTTCATGTATGGGTATGACCGAACTGATTACCGTGAACATCATCAAAACAAATTATTATTACTCATTTCGCTAAGAACTTATCGAGTAGGAACAAGGCATTTTCATCATTCAAAGAAATGGTCGTTATAGAATCTAAACTGGTAATCATCCGTCCAACCCTGTCCAATTAAGAAAATTGTAAGAAAAAAGAGCATATGATGAAAAGAAATGCAGACAGAACAAGGCTACTAAATGCGCGCCATCGAAAAGACAAACAATATAAATGAGAAAGGAAAGGAACAGAGAGATGGTAAACTCACGTGAGGAGTTGATGGAAATAGAAAAACATAAACAAAATCAAACGAACAAAATGAAAAGGGGAAAAGACTTCCCCAAGGATATCGTCCTAATAAGCAATTCGCCTCTTTCCAATGATCCGCCCAACCTTCCCAATCCTCGTAATAAATACCTTGAAAATAATGTCCCGATAAACCCCAAAATCAATACAATATTCACAGATAACGATGTTGACCGTCATCATAAAACTGTGTCTCTCATACCCTCATACAACCAGTATGCAACATATCGTTCCGCCTCGACATAGGCGTCAACTTAGCCACCCATATTATCGGTGACAACACTCAAGCGACTGCGTGCACCAAGAGATGCACCTCCGAGATCACTTGAGCCAGCAATATTATGTCTGTTATCGCCAGCCACAATCACCTGGGCTGGGCACACGACGATCTCATCATCCCCGACACCTTCATCATCACCCTTCTTGACAACAAGAGGGAAGAGAACAACTCGAACAATAGCCCCCTCAGCCTCCAGCTCCTCATTGGCGAGGCCTTTGCTATTGCGGTCGCTCATCATTGAGGCATTAAACTGAACAGTGGCGGACAATTCTCCGTCCGCATCATATTCAGGCTGCAGCGGTGGCAGCATCATGTACTCAGCCTTCTGAGTACGCATTTCGATTGACAGGTCAACTGCCTCTCGAAGGACACGACGAAGCTGAGACTGGATCTGCGATTCCAGGTTGCCTGGAGGTGGCAAAATCCTGCTTAGAGTCTGGAAGATAGCCTGAACCACGGCTTCCGTGTCCTGATCCCGCTGGTGCTTGAATGTGTCCCTCCTTGAGAGCAGGGTCAAAGTAACGGCACGCCATTGGCGTACGGCCTGTGGGGGGCCAACATCAGTAAGCATCTTTTCAAGAGACTTGAGCTTTTGTCGCTGTTCTCGATCCATGCCGAAGAGGTATCGAGTAAAGACAAACTCCCATACCATGTTCATCGTCATGGACATGAAGATGTCTCGTCGTTTGACTCGGTCGCTGAGGTATCTATCGACATCAGAGCCATCGAGAACAGCATTGTCAAGTCGATCAATGGTTTTCTCATCATTGATTTCGCTCGTCAGGCGACAAGCTCGCATATCGGAAAATTTGGAGAAGCGAAGAACCCATTGCTGGACGTGGGAGCACAGCTGTTGGCAGCGATGGTCAAAGTGGTCTTCATCGCGAAGATTCAGGAACTCCGCATCAGAAGATTTGGATTCGAGAATCTGGCGTTGCATCTCGCGGATTTGTTCTTTGGCAGATTCAAGCTGAGCACGCAGATCGGCGATCTCGGCATCCTTGTCTGCGATGGTCTGTTGGAAGGCATTCTCGGAGCCGCGAGCCAGGTCGAGCTCACGGGTGACGTCTGCATGGCGAACCTCGAGGTCAGCGAAGCGTGTCTTGTCCTTGTGGGCGAGTTCGGCATTGGCACTTGTAAGGCCGTCGTTGACTTCGGTCAGGCGCGAGACCTCGTTCTGTAGAAATTGCAGCGACTGTTTGAGGGATTCGATCTGGGCGTCGCGTTCGGCGAGGACCGAGGTGCTGCGGTGGGTGAGGCCCTGCTCGGCGTGCTCGCGGGCCTCTGTCAATTGTCGGTTCTCTGCAATCAATTGCTCAACTCTGGACTCGAGCTCAAGGACCTGCATGCTTTGGCGGCGACGCATGCTGTGGGGCCGGGTGGGCGAACGAGGCGAGCCAATGCGGCCCTCCCCAACGCCATCCTAGAGGTGGAGCAGAATGGTCAGCTTGGTGTTTGTTTTGGTGGTTGGGCACCGACGGCCATCGCCACCAGCGACACGGTCGGGCGGCATGGGCAGAGGGGGGTAGGGATATCATCTCAATAGGGTACTGGATTACTCACGTAAACATCGCCCATGTCCTTGGTGCGGACACGGCGCTCGTTGGCGACGGGTGTCGAGTTGTTTTGTTGGCGTAGTGCCCGAAGGTCACCGCTCACGCGCTTGTCGACTCGGCGAAGAGACGGCGGTGGAGTGGGGGTGGACCGCACGCCCTGGATGCCTGGGGTTTCAGGCCGAAACTTGAGTGGCTCAGGCGTGTGTTTTCGCAGGAGGCTGGTGTTGGACGCCGATCTCCGTGGTCCGCCCCGCTCGGCCGAGCCAGCGCCCTGAGGCGACTCTCTCTGCGCCGTCGCTCGCCTTTGATAGCTGCTGTTGTCTGACACGCTGCGTCGGCCCCTCATCGCCTCGTCGGGCGAGCCTGTGCTTCTCAACGCTCCCGCCATGGCGCCAGCTCCTAGTGCTGCTGCTGCTGCCACCCCGGCCGCTGGGAGCAGGGATGGGGGCGAGGTGGGCGAAGGGGATTTCTGCGCGCTCGCCGGTGAAGGTGCACGCAACTCTCGAGGGTCTATCCTTCGCAGTGATGGTGATGAGGAGCCAGCATCTTCACCGAACCGTCGCCGACTGGAGCTCGGTCGTAATGAAGGACCTGACCTCATCTTTTGTAGTCGTAGCGGTGAAGGCTCGCCCTTCTCCAGTGGTGTTACAGGCTCGGCCCTGGCCCTCTTCTTCTCCGGATCTGGAGTCACCCTCGTAGTCACGGGCTCCTCCAATACAGGGGTGCCATAAGACGGCCGTCCCAGCTTCCTCCTCCCAGTATCAGGAGTCATCGTAGCGGCCCGCGATATCTTAGGGGCTTCACCGTCATCAGAATGGACACCACTGTCTCTCTGCTTTTCATCAGCCAGCATGTGGCTTCGATGCCGAGGCTCAGGTGCTGCCTCTGCCTCCGCCCCATACCCACTATCGCGGCTGGCCACCGGTGTTCTGGGGGCCCTTCTCCTCGTGTCCATCTCTACCTCTGGCACCTCCTGCACAACAGGTAGTGAACGAGTAGGGGATGATCTAGTGTCAACGAAGCTAGAACCGAATCCTTTTCCTAATGTCGATGATGCATGTATGTCTTCTTCAAAGAGTTTGCCGGCAGGCTCTTTTGTATCAGAATCACGCCGTAGAAGACCGGCTGTGTCCCTACGGCTGGAAGAAGTTCCTTCTCTGGTACCTTCCTTGTCAGTTGCCTTTCCTTTAGAACCACTCTTCGTCGATTTGGTATCATCAATGTCTCTTGAAAACGAGGTCTCCCGTTTGTCCTTGCCCCTGGCAGTAACATGGTCGTCGTGGCCCTTCCAGAAATCGTCGCTTTCTTTAGCGGCAAGCGAAGCTTTCTCGGTCAGTGAATTTTTGACCTCAGTAGGTTTCCGACTCGGAAGATCACCAGTCTTCTTGCTGTCATCCTGTTCTCGCAACTTTTTTTTTCCAACACCCTTCGAGGGAGAATGATCATCATGTTCAACAACATTCTTCTCCCGTAAAGTCCTCTTATCCACTACCTCGGGCTTCTCATCCTTCTTTTCCTTGCCCCATCCACCGAATCGTCCAGCCAAGAATGAAAAGCCACTTGCGGTTGCGGCGGCGGCCGCAGAAGCAGCAGAAGCTAAAGTCTTATCCAGGCCTTCTTCCTTCGTCTCGGTGTGTGAAGATTGCTTGGAGTCTCCTGTTGGCAGGGTTGCTTTGGACAAATCGGAAAGAGGCTTTGTTGGGGGCTTGGAAGTTCTCGGTGGAGATGTCTTGTTGTGAATCTCATCATCCAAGGTATCCCTTTTAGAAGTTGCTGGCTGGTCAGTGAAGGTCGTCCCACGGACATCCTCAGGCACAGCTACATGAACAAGGGTGGTGGTATCTTGTGCAACTGCACCTGCTGAAGGTAGCCCTTTCAAAGCAACATCTTCCAGAGATTTTGATATATCAACCTCCATCGATGCCTTGTCCTCGACTAGCAAAGGCTCTTCTGTCTGATCCAGGACGGTGGTTTTAGCTGAAGTTGCAGGGTCTGGCATCGCCGTCTCGAAAGTCGAAGTCACTACCTGTTTGTCTTTGGCCTGGTCCTTCTTTTCCTTCCTCTTTTTTGACTTTGCTGCTTCCATTTCCTCCTCGAGCCCCACCGCTCTCTCCAAAACACCACCATCCCGTTCTGTAGTATCAACAAGTTGTACGGATTTTGTTTGCCGAGTATCCACATTGCCGACTATTGGTTCTTCGACATGGCTTGGAACTTCTTGAGATTCTACAAGAACTGGCTCAACGTCGATATGAGGCTGAGGGTGAGACACGCCAGGCTCCAAAGTATCTTCGAGCTTCGCCGCTGGCTGGGGAGCAATCTCTGGGTCAAGAAGCTCCCTTGTTGATTCTATTCCTTCCATAATGTCGCCTTCCCCCAGGGCCTTGTCAATGGTGGGGAAAGTACCTGTTAACGTCTCAACATCGGGCTGGCCCTGGAGCTGGTCACCTGATGAGTCAAGTGTAGACTCTGGCACTTTTGACAGATGATCTGCTTCACGAGAGTGCTCTTCGTGGCGAGAGCGATCCTCAGATTTCCTTGCATCTTGTAGCTCAGGCTCGCTCTGAAGGGCCTCGCTCTGCTGCACATCTAAGATGTCAACGGTTGCATCAGTTCGGGCGGCTTGAAATTTAAAATCCTCAGGAACACCAATATCATGGAATTCTTTGGAGCCTTGAGCCTCCTCTCCGCCATGTTCGTCATTCTGCTCAAAAGTTGACGCACTAGGCATTTGACCACTAGCTCCAGAAGGCGTACTCTCCGGAGAGGATTTGTCTGCCGGTACACTGGCGGGCACATCTGGCATAGGCTCATCGATAGCAGGCGCAGCTTCCGCACTGAGGGACCGGTCATTATCGGCAGGGATATCTCGAGTCTCTTGAGGTGCTCTGTCTTGAGGTGCTGTGTCTTGTGGCTGGGAAGTGGCCGTAGTGCCTGCGGCCGCTGCCACAGCCGCTGCCGCGAGAGCGGATTTCTTTCCCTTCTTCTTTTCTTTCTTGGATTTTTTAGCTGAAGGTAGATCCTCAAAGTCTTCCTCTGTGCGAGGTGTAGCCTCGATGACTTGTCCATAGTTAGCAGAAGGTTGATTCTCAACATTCGGCTCAATCAACGGTTCAAGTATCGGTTGGGATTCGACAATAGGAGGGTCGGGAGTAGCCTCAACGGCTCCTGCACTAGCCAGAAGTGCCTGTTTTTTCAACTCTCTTTTTTCCTTCTTCGACAACTTCTTTGGCGGCTCTACTAATTCCAATTCACGATCTCCTTGCGGTTGTTCTTGATAGGCAGGCGTCGCGGGTGTCTCTGGAGACGGGTGTATGTTCGAGTCCAGCTGCTTTGCATCACTCGCTGAGTCGGCCACTGGTTCATCTTGCACCTGCTGTTGCTTTTCTTCATCCCCATGAGGCGCGGTTGGAGTTGGTTCGAGGGGCTCGGCATTTTCATTTGTATCACTGGCCTGTGCTACCTCGGGGATAGGGTCATTCAAAACAGTCTCAACATCAATTGCCTGCTGCTCATCGCCTAATGTTGGATTCGCAACCGAATCAGGTCCCTGGCGTCCGACCTGTCCAGTCGTATCAGCTGAAGGCAGGAACGGCTGCTCCGGCGGTCCGATCTGCACAGGGGCATCATGTTCTACAATGTCCAGACTTCTGGCTGGACGATCCTCCGGCTCTTGCGGGATTGGCTCGGCTGTCAGGGTAGCATCTAGTCGGCCACTTTCTGTCTGACCCTGCACTTCTCTAGAAGCCTTTGGCTCGGGAGTTTTGCTGGCTTTGAAGTCTGGTCCTGTCTCAAGCTCATCAACCTGGGTGCCCAGGGCTGTGGAGGTTTCTTTCTGCGACTCTGGAGTTTCTAAAAATGGATCAGGCAAGCCCAACGTCTTGGCCTTCTTCCTCAGCTTCTTCTTTTCCTTGCTGGACAACCCAGTCATAGACGAAGAAGTCTTGTCATCGCGGTCTTCTTGCATGCGAGATTCGGGCCCCACAGGCGGTGAAGCTGCATTAGGCGCTTCATCCCTGGTAGCTGGTGCGGAGTCTTGTACAACTGGCACTTCCAACTCCGGATAAATATTGGGCTCGGCTGCATCTGACTTGTCGGTGTCGACAGTCTCGGGCACCTCCTCCGGGGTTTGTTGGCCTGGAACCTCAGTACTTAACCCTCCCAGCTTGTCCCGGTCGTCAGCCAACGTTTTCTCTTCTTCTTGGACGTCTTCTTGACTGGTCGAGGGAATTTCGCGAGCTTCTACAGCTCCGGATGGCATGTCTTGAGAAACGAAGCTTGACTCTTTAGCAATATCGACATCTTTGGTAGGTGCTAGCAACTCTTCGCTGAGCTCCTTACTGCCGAGATCTCCCGAATTGTCGTCCATTTTGCCTTCGCCCTTGGGTGCCTCGTCATCCTTTTCGTTGGACCGGATAATCGGTGCAGATTGGACAGGCACACTATCCATCAGATTTTCTGGTGAGAAAGCTGAATCTTGACGCTCTTCCCCGGCATCCGATTCAGCGGTAGCACCTGATTGGCCACCAGCAGATTCAATTACCTCCTCTAAATCCATTGATCTTTCTGTGGTCTGTTCTTCACCGAGGACAGCAACCTTTGATTGCTCTTCTTTCTTCTTTCTTCTCCTCTCTTTTTTAGAAAGACCTTTATCCTCGGCCATATCAATGGATTCAGAGACTTTCACAGCCTCGATTTCTTTTTGCACTTCGATCTCAGGCACCCTCGCCTCGATCTCTCCCATAGCCTTTGGTGAGAGCTGCTCGGTGACGTTGTCATCTTTGCCTAATATCAGTCGAGAATCGGGCGTGTTTTCCTCTGCTACTTTCGCCACCTCGGCGGAAGGCTTAGCTCCAGGTAAAGTTTCTCCAATTTCATTCTCCAAAGCCAAAGTAGGCCCAGGCTCAGTGGCAGGCTCTGCGGTAGGCTCGGGTACAGGGTCAGAAACAGATTCAGCAACCAACGCCTTGGCTTTGGCCTCCTTCTTCATTTCCTTCTTTTGCTTCTTGGACAGGCCCGAAACGTTGGGGAGGTCTTGCGTTTCTACAGCCTGGCCAAGTAAGGAATCTCTAGAAGCCAACGTTGTGCTTTCATCATTATTTCTTGGTGAGTCTTCCGTTTCCGCGGTCTGTGGAGCATCCGCTGGAGAATCGGATGGCACCTCAAAGGGTGAGTCTTCCAAGGGTTTCTCTTCGGGCCTGGCTTCAGGTTGTGGTACCACAACCTGCTCTGGCTCAATGATTGCCTCGGGCCCCGAAGCTAAAGTGTCTTCCTTGTCTTCCTTTGAAAACTCATCCTCAAGGGGAAATGCAGAGCCATCTGCCTGTAGGCTTTCAACAGTAGCATCCGTAGTCGCTGTAGATTTCAATGGAGGTGGCTTGTCGGGACTATGCTCCAATTCGGTGGGTAGCTCCTTGACATCAGAACCACTTGGTACCCCTTCGTCTTTTTCCGCACGTATGAGTCTGTCACCTCCCATCTTCAAAGACTGGCTGGCCGGCTTGGGAAGGGAATCATCTTCGCCCAATAAAGTGCCCTTCAATGTATCTGTTGATTCCCTGACCTTTCCAAGTGCTTCCGATGCTTCGATAGGCACTTGGGGTAGCTTGGTCAATTCCTCTGTTGCTGTAAGAAGTTCTTTGGCAGCTTCAGCAGGCTCGTTTATCCCAGAGCTAGTGCCAATTACATCCGTAGAAATTTGTTCTGTCAGAGGAGGATCTCTCGTAGAACCATAGCCCGCAGAGGCTTCATTATCACCAGATTTGTCCACTTTTCGGTCCTCCACTTGTTCAACTACTGTAGAATCTAAAAAGGGCGTAGTTATAGGCTCCGCGGAGCCAGTTACTTCCTGTTCAGGTGGCGCATCAGCCTTCTCGGGGAGTCCTTCAACATCCGTAGAGATTGTCGCTTGACTTTCGGTGTCCAAGGCAGATTCTTTGGATTTCTTCTGCCTTTTTTTCTTCTTGCTCTTTTTGGACTCAACACTCGGCTCCTCTTCGATTGCTGGCTCAACTGTGACTGCAGGCTCGGTTTCAGTGGTGGTCGGAGGTGCCTTCTCAACCTGTGATAATTCAGGCTGCGAAGGAGAAGCTGCTCTATCAGTCTCGATATGAATGTCGAGAGGATCTGGGATAGATTCTTTCAATGAAGTTGCTTCATTGAGGTCCTTGGGGTCATGTTGTGCTACCGGCGCATCAGGGGCGTCTGAACCCAAGGGTGTAATCGCCGCTAGTCCTGCTGCTGTTGCTGCTATTGCCGCCGCTTCGGCCTGGGCCTTCTTCCTCTTCTTCTTTTCTTTCTTGCTAAGAGGTTTGTCTAGATCGTCGAGAGCTTCTTCCTCAACTCCAACAGCCTCATCAACGGCTGGCAAATTCTCCTCAGGGAGCTCCTCTACGATAAGCTGCGGGTTGGCCTCAGGGTCAGCATCAAGCTTAGGTTCCGACTGTGTTATGGACACATCGTCCCCCGGTTCTTGATGGGCATGCAAGTTCTTTTCTTGAACTTGGGGGCCAACAGCCCTCGCTCCAGCTTCGGAAGTTTCGAAATCCAAGGTAGATTGGCTCTCATTGGTAGCATCAGCAACCTCCTTAGGAGGCCCATCGTTCAAGACATCTGGTTGAGAAGTACTGGCAAGTCCAGTTTCCTGCTCTCCAACGGGCATATCACCGAGACTTGTAGGCTCAGTCTCTTCAGCAGGCGAAGGTTTATCGCCAAGATCAAATGTGGCGGACCTTGATATTGTCTCGTCTGCTTTTGACGTTTCATCATTCATAACCGTTTCATTTCTTTTCGCTTCAGATACAGAGGGGGGTTCGCCAACTTGGCTGTCTTCATTGGAATTTCCCTCGTCAAAAACGCCAGATGCCATTTCCTTGTCCTTCAACTTTTTCAATTTCTTCCTCTCTTTTTTAGACAATCCAGCAGCCCCGGTACTCTCTTCAACAGGATTTAGGTTGGAAACTTGGGAGGGGTCCGAGACGGCGTCCGAGGCGATTATTGAGGAGGGTTCTATTGTCCGGTTTGCGTCATCTTGCGGTCGAGATGAGTTCGCGTCCGATTCCGGTGGGGCGGTCGATTCGGGGTCCTGTGTTTCCTCAGACTCGATTTCTTTAGCTTTCTTATTCTGCTCATCCGTTTCGGAATTCTTGGAATTGAACCCACCCCTGTCGTCTTGTGCTTCGGATTCCAGGCCGGTCGAGAGTTCCTCGGCAGGAATAACAAAGCTCGAGGGTTTCTCTGCGCCATGGTCGACGACGTTTTCGGTTCCGCTCTCCTGGATTCGGCCAGTATCCGGGGTCCTATCGGTTTCCTGAAGGGAAGAATCCGGCAAATCAGCATCTGTGTTGGGCACTTGAACCGGGGAATCCGCACCGCCCTTCTTCTTCTTCTTTTTCTTGCTCTTCTTCGATGTCTCGGCTTCGGCCTCCTGTTCAGCAGCAGGTACGGCGGTATCCAACTTGGGATCTGTAGAAGGTTCATTTGAAGCTTGCTCGGACCGAGCCTCGCCAGATTCAGCTACTACCTCGGGTTCAACGGTAGAGATTTCGGTTATTTCGGGGATGGTTTGTTCGTCTTTCACATTCTGCTCCACAGCTTCGGGCTGTTCCGCCACCTTGACTGCTTCTTCTGCAGGATTCAGTGCCGTGTCTTGGGCTGTTTCTGGTGGCGTCTCTGGAGTGCTGCCTAAGCTCAGTCTGGCCTGCTGCTTTTTGGCTTTCTTCTTTGCCTTCTTACTCGTCGGACTAAGCGGTTCATCTTCAGGCAGTTTTTGTTGCGCCTCTGCAATGAGAGTTTCATCCTTGGGCTCCTCTGTGCCGACAGTGACCTCTCCACTGACGATAGGGATATCACTTGAGCCTGGCGCTTCAACCTTAGATTCTTCTTTTCCAGCGTCGGGAGTATCGACTAAACCAAAGTCGCCGGAAATGGACTTCTCTGTCTTCCCATCGGTTTCTCTAGATATTTCAGGAACATCAGTCGCGCCTAGTCCATCAGGCCTGGAGTCTTCAATGCCGGTTTTAGTTTCTCTGAGCACATCTTGAGGTTCCTGATCTGAGGCTTTCCTTCCAAAGAACTTATTGAGGAAACCCCAGCCTGATCCTGCATCATCTTTGGGCTTTTGTTCCTTGGCGTTGTAGTCTACCTCGGCCTTAGCAACCGGCTCCGGCAATGAGATGGCAGCGGCGCTAGGATTCTCTGTATCGCCGCTGGGCTGCTCTTGGTCTTCTGGAATCAAAGTAATATCCGGCGTAGGTGTTTCCGATATTTCAAGTGCTGAGGCTGCCTGCTTGCTCTTCTTTTTCTTATTCTTTTTCTTTTTAGAGCCTGCAGTTTCTTCTAGTTCTTCTACAACCGGCTCAGTGGCTTGGGTAGGTTCTGTTGAAGAAGCTCCCTCTGTGGCTTCTACCTGTCGTTCATTTTGGGAGAACAGTGGCTCTGAAATCAGGTCCTGGCTTGGCGTCAAATCATCGGTGGGTTCAGATGCCTTCTTGTCTTCCTCGGCAGCAGCAGCAGCAGCTTGATTGATATCGAGTGTAGAATTGTCATCACCGATGGGTCCCTCGGAAAACTGCTGCGTCTCGGTAATTGTCTGAGCTTCCGCTGCAGTCAGGGCCTCGACCTTTGGCTCTTCCTGCCTCTCTGGCTGGTCTTCAGTTTTTTCTGTCTTGGACTCTGGATCGCCTGCGGTCTCGCCAGAAACTGTAGGTGTGTCATCGAGTTGCACGGACTTGCGCTTATTTTTCTTCTTCTTCTTTGATGGAGAAGTTACGTCCTCGTCCGGCTGAGAGACAGGATCCTGGGAAACAGACGGCTCCCCTGAAACAACTCCAAATTCAGCATCGCCGCGTACTTGCTCAGTAATAGCAAGGTCATCTACAGGAGCTTCTTCAGTGGCACCGTGTTCATGGACCTCTGTAGAGCTAGCGCATTTTTCGTCGGCCAAAGCCCCTGGTTCCTCCTTGAGTTCCTCCTTGGATTCGTCCTTGGATTCTGCCTTGGATTCCTCCTTAGATTCATCTCTAGATTCGTCCTTGGGTTCCGCCTTGGGTTCTGCCATGGGTTCCTCCTTAGATTCTTCCTTGGGTTCTTCCTTGGATTCCTCCTTGGATTCTTCCATGAGTTCCTCCTTGGGCTCCTCCTTGGATTCTTCTTTGAGTTCTTGTTCCGCTTTGGAGGGTGCGTCCTCAGAAAGCTGGTTCTTCTTTTTCGCCGCCTTCTTAGCCTTCTTTCTCTCCTTAGCCGACATTTTACTCAAATCTTCAGCGGTGAGTTCTTCTTGAGTAGAAAGCGCAGTTTCAGGTGTGGTGTCGTTCAGGGTGTCAGCTTCAATTGACTGTGCTGCGACTGCAACATCACCACGGTCTTCAATAGTTGACCCAATGACCAAATCCTCGGCGGGTGCCTCCGACATAGTTTCAACAACAGGCTCAGCGGCTAGCCCCAACGCAGTTTCAACGGCTTGTTCTGATTTTGCCTCTGTAGGTTCAGCAGTGGCTTCAGCGGGTGGCACAAGTGCTGACTCAGTAGCTGGTTCAGAGACATCGCTTGGTTTGTCCTCAGGTTTTGAAGTCTCTTCAGTCCGAGGAACCTCAGGTTGAGATTCCTCAACGCCCTGTGCTCCTCCCTTGCCCTTCTTCTTTTTCTTCGTTGACTTCTTCGATGGGGTCTCCGGGTCAACGGGCTCGGATTGAGATTCTGCTTTTGGTTCAGCCAGTTCATCTTCTGCTGCTTCAGGTTCTAGAGAAGTCTTGGCGGTGGCAGTCTCCTCCACTAGTGCAGTTTCTGATGGTGCATCATTTAAGGTATCAGTCTTGCTGTGGCTCTCCACTTTGGGCTGCTCTCCATCGACAACGGCCTCTGGCAGGGCAGTTGAAAGCTCGTCAACAGGCTTGTCTTGAGCAAGGCTATCCTCAGAAGGCTTGTCTTTGGCAAGGCTATCCTCAGAAGGATTGTCTTGAGCGGGCTTATCCTCGGTAGGTTTTTCATCTCCGGCTACATCTTCCGCCGAAGCCTCAGGCTCGGGCTGCACTGGAACATCCCCACCCAACTCTGACTCTTGAACAGATGGCTTCTCAACGTCCTCGGCCACTGTCGCAGTGATTGTTTCGTCTGCTGAGGCAGGTATTTGTGAGCCAGTCACTGTCTCTGAAGCCAGCGCCTCGGCTCTCTTCTTAGCCGCTCTCTTAGCCTTCTTCCTGTCCTTGGCTGACATTTTACTTAATTCCTCAGCAGTTGGTTCTTCTTCAGCAACAGGAACCTCCTTCGAGGTAGAAATGTCGTCTGTTTTGGTGGCAGGCACCTCCTCTGTAGCCGGAACCTCATCGGTAATGGGCGCCTTTTGGAAAGCAGACTCTTCTATGGTAGGGATCTCCTTAGTGATCGATGTCTCTTCGGCTGGAGCCTCTTCGGCAGCTGGAATGTCTTTGTCGATGGGAGCTTCACGAGCTGCTCGTTCTTCTGCTTCTCTAGCCTCTCTTTCTACTACACGTTGCGCGACGTTTGCCTGTAAGACTGCGTAGCGTTCCCTGTCTTTTTTGGAAGTAAGCCTACCCCTCTTTAGCTTCTTAAACTCCAGGGCAGCAAGCTCTTGTTCCTCTGCTACGATTTCTGCTTCTCTTGCAGCACGGGCAGCCTCGATAGCAGGGTCCTCTTCTACAATCGGAACCTCTTTAGTTTCCTCTTGAACAGACACACCCTCAGTGAGAGAGGCCTCGCTGGAAACGGGAATCACTTCAATTGTCTCCTCTGTGGCAGGGGCCTCTGTAATGATGGAGGGCTCTTCAAAGGTCTGTTCTGTAGCAGTTGTCTCTTTGGGGGCTGGAGCCTCTGCAGGAGTCTCGTCCGTGACTGGAATCTCTTTAACGACTGGGGTCTCTTCAGTAGTCTCTGCGGCAGGGGCATCCTTAGCAATGAGTGTCTCCTCGGCCGTCTTCTCTGTGGTAGAGACATCTGTGGGGACGGGAGTCGTTTCAGTGGCTCGCTCTGCGGAAGAGACCTCCTCAACGATGGGAATCTCCTTTGTGACAAGAGATTCTTCTGCAATAGGAGTCTCTGCAACAGCTTGCTCTGCGGAAGAAACCTCCTCGACGATAGGGGTCTCCTTTGTGACAAGAGATTCTTCTGCAATAGGAGTCTCTGCAACAGCTTGCTCTGCGGAAGAAACCTCCTCGACGATAGGGGTCTCCTTTGTGACAAGAGATTCTTCTGCAATAGGAGTCTCTTCAACAGTGGCCTCTTTGGGGACGGGAGTCTCTTCAGTAACTTGCTCTGCGGAAGAGACCTCCTCGACGATGGGGGTATCCGTTGTGGCAGGAGACTCTTCTACAATGGTAGTATCTTTAACCGTTGCCTCTTTAAGGACGGGAGTCTCTTCAGTGGCTTGCTCTGCGGAAGAGACCTCCTCGACGATGGGGGTCTCCTTTATGACAAGAGATTGTTCTGCAATCGGAGTCTCTTCAACTGTGGCCTCCTTGGGGGCTGCAGTCTCTTCAGTCGTCCTATCCGTGACAGAGGCCTCTTCAACGACAGGGGCCTCCTCTGTAGTCTCTGCGGCAGGGATATCTTGAGCGATGGAGGTCTCCTTAACAGTCTCCTTCGTGACAGAGGCTTCTCGTTCAATAGGCGCTTCTTCAGCAGTCTCCTCGGTGGCAGGGGTCTCTTTGGGGGTCGCGGTCTCTTCTGCAGTAGGAGTCACTTTGGCGTTGGAGGCCTCGCGTGCTGCTTGTTCTGCGGCGCGCTGTTCTGCGTTTGCGATTAAGACTGCATAGCGATCCCTATCCCTCTTCACTATATGTCTGCCGGTCTTCTTTGACTTCTTGCGCTCTAGAGCAGCAAGTTCTGCTTCCTCTGCTGCAATTTCTGCTGCTCTTGCAGCAAGTGCAGCCTCGACAGCAGGATCCTCCGCTACAATAGGAGCCTCCTGCAAGGCAGAGATATCCTTGGAAGCTGCTGCATCCTCTAAAACAGGGCTTTCCTTAGCGACAAAAGCATCTGCGGTGGTAGAAATGTCTCGAGGGATTTTGGACTCTTCCATAGCCAGAGCCTCCTCCGTAGGAGGAACCTCCTCTAAAACTGGAACCTCCGTAGTACTAGAAATTTCCTTAGAAATAATGGTCTCTTGTGAAACTGGAAGCTCCGTAGCAGTAGAGACCTCCTTAGAAATAGCAGCCTCTTCTGGAACTAAATCCTCTCTTGTAGTAAGAATATCCTTAGGAGCAATGGCTTCCTCTGTAGTGGGAGGCTCCTCGGTGGTAGGAAACTCCTTAGGAATAGTAGGCTCCTCTACGGCAGGGGCCTCGGCGGTCGCAGAAATGCTCGTAGCAAGAGCACCCTCCTCTGAGGTTAGAGCGTCCTTAGCGGCAGAGACTTCCTCTGTAAGAGCAGGTGTTTGAGCCTCAGGTGCTTCGGTAGTCATAGCGGCTGCCTCTTGGGCCAAGGCCAAGGCCTTCTTCTTGGCCGCCGCGGCCTTCTTCGCCTTTTTCCTCTCTTTGTTTGACATTTTGCTTAGCTGTTCAGCAGTGGGCTCCTCCTCGACAGCTTGAGCATCCTTGGAGACGGGGACTTCCTCTGTTGTAGGGGGTTCCTCTATTGCAGGGGGTTCCTCTATTGCAGGGGGTTCCTCTATTGCAGGGGGTTCCTCTGTTCTAGGGGGTTCCTCTGTAGCAGGAAGCTCCTTGGCGATTGAAGTATCCTCTGTGACAGGTGCTTCCTTAATGGTAGGAGCACCCTCTGGAGCCAGTGTCTCCTCGGTCACCGGGGTCTCGTCTATACGAGAGGCCTGTTCTGCGCTAGGAGCCTCCTCTGCGGCAAGAGCCTGTTCTGTGGTAGGGGTCTCTTCTACAGTAGGGGTCTCTTCTGCGATAGGGACTTCCTCTGTGAGAGCAACTTCATCGGGAGTGGGAACATTTTCTACCGTAGGAACCTCCTCTGTGATAACAAGGTTTTCTGGTGTAGGAACATCTTCAGCGATAAGGCCCTTTTCTGTGATCGGAGCTTCATCTGCAGTAGGAACTTTTTCTTCCAGGGGGATCTCCTCTATAGTGAGGGCATTTTCTGGTGTAGGGGTCTCATCCGTGATAGGGGCCTTTTCTGTGGATGGAGCTTCATCTGCAGTAGGGGCATTTTCTACCGGAGGAATCTCTTCTGTGGGGAGAGCATTTTCCGCTGCAGAGGTCTCATCCGTGACAACGGCCTTTTCTGCGGTTGGAGCTTCATCTGCAGCAGGGGCACTTTCTACCGCAGGAATCTCTTCTGTAGTAATGGCCTTGTCAACGGCAGGTGCCTGTTCAAGGGCAGAAGTCTCTTCCTCTGTAGGCGCAGGTGTTTCAGACTCGGTCGATTTCGAAGTATTGGCAGCAACACCGACAGCTACACCAGCAGCGAGGCCAAGAGCCAACGCCTCGGCTCTCTTCCTGGCCGCTTTCTTGGCCTTCTTCCTATCCTTTGCTGACATCTTGCTTAATTCCTCAGCCGTAGGCTCTTCCTCCCCAGCACCAGGAACCTCTTTAGTAATGGGTGTCTCCTCAGTGAGAGGTGCCTTTTCGACAGAAGAAATCTCTTCGGCAACAGGGACCTTTTCGATAGAAGAGATTTCCTCAGTGGCAGGAGCCGTTTCAGCGGCAGAAACGTCTTCGGTGGCGCCAAGAACCAGCGCCTCGGCTCTCTTCCTGGCCGCTTTCTTGGCCTTCTTCCTATCCTTTGCTGACATCTTGCTCAATTCCTCGGCAGTAGGCTCTTCCTCTCCAGTACGAGGAACCTCTCTAGCAATGGGTGTCTCTTCGATAACAGGGGCCTTTTCGATATCCTCAGTGACATGAGCCTTTTCAACGGCAGAAACGTCTTCGGTGGCAGGTGCCTTTTCAACTGCAGACACCTCTTCGACGACAGGAGTGCTTTCAATAACAGAAACGTCCTCAGTGGTAGGTGCCGTTTCGACGGCAGAGGCCTCTTCAACGAGAGGAGTCTTCTCAATATCAGAGATAACTTCAGTAGCAGGGGCCTTTTCAGCAGACGAGACCTCTTCGACGATAGGAGTCGTTTCAATGACAGAGACATCTTCAGTGGCAGGAGTCTTTTCGGCAGACGAGATCTCTTCAACAACAGGAGTCGTTTCAATGACAGAGACATCTTCAGTGGCGGGTGCCTTTCCAATAGAAGAAATTTCCTCGGTGGCACGAGTCTTTTCGATGACGGAAGCATCTTCAGTGGCAGGAGCCTGTTCGATGGCAAGCGCATCTCCAGAGGTAGGGACATCTTCAGCAACCCGAGGTTCGACAAATTCTTCACCCTTGCCCTTGCCCTCAACAGCAGCAGCAGGAACCAGCTCAACGGATCTGACGCTGTCCATCTCCTGAGCATCGGAGAAGTGGTCATCAACAGAGGCCAGTTCATCCTTGTAGTCTACCACGTTGATTTCCTCTGCATCGTACGTTCTGGTGGGAGTGGTGGGGACCTCGGGCAACCTGTAGTCATCGAAATCTCCGCGAATAGACCGAACTGACTGCACAGGCGAGGGGGCAGACTGCAGCAGGTATGAACTTCTATCTCTAGACATGGATTCAACTGGCTCAGGCTCATGTTGCTGCTCCTCGGTTGGGCCGGCCAGGGCACTCGGCTCGCCCTGATCAAGAGTTCTTGTGAGCGATGACAGATCTGGAAACTCTGGCCTCATTTCAGCCTTGGGTGTCGATTCTTGAGAGCCAGTCTCGTCGTGGCTGGGCTGCATCAGAGGCATAGATGTATCAAGTCGCAATCCAGAGTTATCACCGTAGTCGCCATAGTCGAATCCTCGGTCATTCATAGCCTGTGCATATTCGTGGGCAGACTCCCAGCCTTCAGATTCGGGAGGAGATCCGCGAGAGGATGATTCACTCGGGGGCAAAGCAGGGAGATCGGCTTCCATGATGGGCGAGTCGATTGAAATATGGCGAGAGTGCTCGACCAAGTACAGTGGCTTGAACTCGCGGCTGCTGTCCCATGAGGTAGGTCGTCGCACCACCGTTGGGCTGGATCTAGTTGGGCTTTCAGCCATGCCAACAACAGGGGAGCTCATGGGTGAAGCCTTGAAGAGGGCCGGGGAAGATGGCCCAGATCGGCCTCCCATCCGTAGTTGGATGGGGATGGCAGTGTTGCTAGGAATTTTGGACGGCGTCTCGTGAGCACTTCGTCGCCGGTTGTGAAATGGACGCTCACGCCTCAATCCTCGCTCCTCTGGAGGGGTATCTGGCCGGCTGTCCGGTAAGGTAGGAAGTTCCTCTGGCGTGCCCACAGGCGTACCAGGCTCACTTGGGGGAAGTGGAAGAAGGTCCCCATACTGGGGATCAATGGCCGGCTTTATTGCACGAGCCACGATGTCGGGGTCGTAATTCTCGACATTGCGCGACCATTCAGAGATATCCTGAGGGTCAGTCTTCTTTTCCGAGAAAGCATTGTTGGCGTTGAAAGGAGAGAGAGCTGCTGCCCCAATTCCCAGGATGCCGACACCCGCGCCAAAAGTGCCGGCATTACCTAAAAAAGAATCCTTCTTCTGCTTTTCACCATCTTTGCTGGACTTGAATATGCTCGAAAATAGTCCACTTGATCTCCTCTCGGGTTCCTTGCTCTTCTCAGACTCCCTGCTCTTCCGCGATGAACCAGGAGCAGAAGCAACAGACTTGGTGTCATCATCGTCATAACGGTAATCGGTTTTGCTGCTACGACTCTTCTTCTGTTTGTCCTCAGTGCGAGGCTCAGAAACTATCGAACTCACTTCACGGTCCTCGAAGAGATCACGGGTTCGACTTGGTCGCTCGTCATCATATCTATAAAAGTCGTCGTCCGTGCCGCTTCTTCGCTTCGACTTCCTGCTCTTCTTCTCTGAATCCTCGACACCGACCTCCGATGTCGTAGCTGATCGTACGGGAAAGTCTCGTGAAGGGGAATCATAACCTGAGCTACGTTTCGATTTCTTCTTTGACTTCTTGGTGGACTCCCATTCGTCATCTGAGTGGATCGCCCTGGATGGCTTCACCTCTGATGATGAACCAATCGGTGCCGAAACGAGCGAATGCTCGGAACTATCGAGACCACGAGTTCTCGAAACTCGTGATTTCAGATCCGATGTGTCTTCCCAGTTTTCCCAAGATGCTTCAGAGTGAATGATGGGTTCTGGCTCAGCATAAATCTGCCCATCACTGTCTTGTGCATCTAGAGCGGCCTCTCTGGCAGCCTTCTCTCGCCTGCGCTTTTCCTTCTTGCTGAGTTTCGGCTCCGGCTCGACTTGTTCAGGGGTCTCATATATAGCTCTTGACTGGGACTCTGGCTCGTATGAGGGTTGTGGTGCGTCGACAACATCAGACTCCTTTGTGAGCTTTGCAAGTCTTTTCCTCTCCTTCTTGCTCAGCTTTCGCGAACTAGACTCTTCGGCATCCTGGAATGGCAGGGATTCGTCCTTGGGCGTTTCAACTTCACCCAGAACAAAGCCCGTCTCAGGGCCACGGTGCTTCTCTTGGAGACTGAAATCCGATACAGAGTCCACGGTAGGGTGATAGTAGTGCTTGCCGTTTAGTTCATTCGAGCCAGGGGGTGAGTCTCTTCGATGAAACGTGGGGTCATCAATCACAATGTTGGCATCAAAGCCAGTGTGCTTCAGACCCGCTGCAAGGGTTGCGGCGAATTCGATATCGTCTGCATAACCACCAGGCATATGCTCGGGCTTAGGGCTTGAAGGCTTAGGTCCCGGGATGGGAGGAGCATCCATCAGATCATCCAGCTTGTCGAAGCTAGCGTCCGTTGACTCCTTTTCGAGGGATCGCGATGGGCCTGCATCGTCATCCTCTCGAGATTTTGATCCCATCATTGAACCGGCAAAGGTTCCAGCAGCACCGGCGGCACCGGCGGCCAATGCAGCAGCCATCATGCCCCACTGACTACCCTTCTCTAGGCGAGGGCGTGGCTTCTCGTCAGATTGGGAGCGACTGAAGTCATGTTCGACATCATCTCTTGCCTCGGGAGTGATGACTTCGAAGCTCTTAGTCTGATTTTCCCCCCATTTCACTGATTTGGGGGGCGCTACTGACACCTGGTCATAGGAGCCCACTCCGACTGCAGATCTCGAGGTGGTATCGTCTCTCTCGTCATCACTGCGCCGAGAACCAACGTCAGATCTAGACGAGTCATCATGGACATCTCGGCGCTTATCAGCCTCGGGCTCAACATCTCGGACATTATCCCACTCCGGTTCCTTCTTCGGTGCGGGGACGGGCTCACGAGAAGGCGAAGGAGCGCGGCTTGATTCGGGGGTAGGGTACGTGAGGTTCAGAACAGGTCGCTCTCCTTGAGCAGAGGGGTCTCTCGCTAAAGTATAGCTGCCGTCCAATCTACGCTCTGTGCGGAACCGCTCTGATTCTTGTGGAAAGAACATGTGGTCAATCAACACATCAGCATTTGGTCCGTCAAGAAGCCCTTTGGTACGTTCCCGGTATCCGGGCGGTGTGACAACACGGACGTGCTCACGCTCGTCTCCTTTAGCCTCGGGGGACGGGCTGCGAGACCGGATCTCTTCAGATGCCTTCTTCCTAGCTAGCTCTGCTTCTCGATAATACCGGTCTGCATTTTCCTGGATTTCGTCCTTGGGCTCTGTAGCTTTACTCTGCCTTTTGCTCTTCTCTTTTCTGCGCTCGCGTGAAGCCTCAGTAGATTTAGGAACATCGTCAGACTTCGAGGCCGCGACAATCGCGCCAGCGGCTACTGCTGCTGCTGCGGCAGGTACTACAGCAGGAGCGACGCGGCTGACAAAGCTCGGGAATTCGTCAGCTGCCCTCGTCTGATGCTGTTGCTCAAGCTCGAACGAGTCTTTCCGGCTCATCCTCCTATCACCCGGTGGCGTGTACGGCGGGGAATCGTCATCAAATACTGGTTCACGATCGACCGTTACCACCATGGGAGTCAAGGGGCGCGGGGGGTCTGACACTGCAGGCGTCATGAAGTTGTCGACCTGGAATTGGAAGGGGTCAACTGGCGCCTTTGAGGAAGAATCGGCAGGAGTGGAGTCGTAGGGAAGCTTCTGCAGGGCGGGAAGATCTCGAGTACGCGAAGGCTCCTCGTAGTCCTTTGATTTCGAAGACTCTCCATACTTAGAGTATCTGTCGTCTCCGTACTTGGAGTACTTGTCGTCTCTGTATTTGGAGTACTTGTCGTCCTCGTATTTAGAGTACTTGTCATCCCCGTACTTGGAGTACTTATCGTCTCTAGATTTGGAGGATCCGTCGTCTTCATATTTAGAAACCTTGTCGTCGCGCTTCGAGTACTTGTCGTCCCTGTATTTCGAGTACTTGTCATCATCATACTTGGACACCTTGTCATCGTCATACCCAGAGTACTTGTTGTCTCTAGATTTTGAGTACTTGTCATCGTCATACTTGACGGCTCTGTCATCGTCGTACTTAGAAGCCCTATCATCGGCAGACTGAGAGTACTTTTCGTCTCTAGATTTGGAGTACTTGTCGCCGTTGGACTTGGAGGCCCTGTCATTGGCATACCTGGCGTACTTGTCGACCTCGTCTCGGAACTGGGAGGAAGGCCTCGACTTCCGCGACTCCGTATCCTTCTCGTCTTCTCGATCGACTCGACGGGATCGTTTCTCACGATCCTTATCGTCGCCATTACGGTGGTCTCGAGACTCGTAGTCGTCCTTGCTCTTGTCCTTGGCCAACGCTCCGCCAATCACCGCGGCGGCAACGCCAGCAGCCGCAGCACCGGCAGCCATCTTTCCGAAACCCGGGGAAGAGTCCGAACGATCGCGCGCAGACTCCTTGCGACTGACATCCTCGATCTTATCTGCCCGAAAGACCTTGTCAGGCACAGGGGTCCTCGGCGCGGGGTGCTGAAGCGGGACGGGTGCAGGGCGTGGATGCTCATGGCGGGGGGACGCCATGGTGCCCCAACCAGCGTTAAACCTGGTTGGATCGGATGTTGGGATCGGGTAGACATTGTGCATAGGCCCCATTGGTTCTGTTGAGGAGCGCTTCAGAGGGTTGGGTCCCTTATGCTGGGCTGCTCCGTTCCGCTCGTCTCCAAAACCGCAGGGTGTGTTGATCATCCCACGGAGCGAGTTGTAGGGTCCAAATAACGACGGGTCGACAACATTCCGGTTATCGTGTCCGGGACGGTTGGTGTTGTTGTTCGAGTGTCTTCCATACGCCGCCGCAGCGCCCGCGGCACCAATAGCGGCCGCTCCAGCCATGGCAGCTGTTGAGGGGCGGATGGCCTGCGACACAACCGTTCCATACGCCATCTCGGAATCAGCGCTATCCTCAGACGAATCGTCGTCAGAAGCCGATTCCCAGTCCGAGTCATCATCAGAGGAGTCGCGATGCGGCTTGGAGTACACCAGCCCGCGGTTCGTGTTATCTTTTCTAGACTTCCTCAACTTACGATACTCTTCAATCTTGGCAGCGGCGGATACTAACCGTGATGGTCTAGTTACGCCTCGCACCCTCAGGTCCTCCTCGTTCTGGCGCTTGGCAAGATCGGAAAGTTGGCGACCGATCGCCATGATCTCATCATCCGTCTTCCGTCGCTGGGGCGTGGCTGGCTTAGATGGGATCTGGACATCGGGGTGATAATAGTCGGCAGCCAGACCCAGCGCCGCACTTGCGGCCACGCCTGCCGCTGCCCCTGCGGCGGCGACGTGTACTGGGTTAATGGACTGTGGCTCGGCATGGAGCGGGCGGTGAGGCTCGTTGAAGAAAGGTTGGGGTTGGGGCTGCTGCTGCTGCTGCTGCTGCTGCTGCTGGTAGTAGGGGGGGTTCTGTCCATGGGGCGAGGAGTGATGCGCCGCCGCGTAAGTCGCAGGCTGGGCTGGCGCGTGGGTTGGAGTGTGTTGTTGGCTGAAGTCGCGACTCCTCCTGCGTCGAACATACCCGGTACCATAAGCAAGATCCGAGTTGACTGACGACGACGATGAGTTTCCAAAGTAGAGGACTCGCGACTTCTTCTTGCCGCTCCTCCTCCGCCTCACCCTCCGTCGCTCCGATGGTGCTCGGAAAAATGTGCTGAAGACGCCACCGAACCTGCTCGTGTCCTGGAATCGGGATATGTCCATTAATGATGATGAGTTAGTGCTGCCCGACGACGAGCTGCTGGAGGTTGCTCGCGAACGGCGCTGCGACTGCGGCTGCCGTTGCTGGTATTGTTGCTGGTGTTCATACTGGTGTTGGGATTGGGGCGTCGAGTTCTGGTGCGTCACGAATGGCCTGGGCTGTTGCTGTTGTTGTTGTGGCTGTTGGTCGGTGTAATAGGATGGCATGTTCGACCGATTGGCAGTGTATTCGCGAGAGTCTCTTCTTCCCTCGCTCCTACGCCTTCTGGAGCTGTCGGGGCTCCGGCGACGGGAATCTGCCATGATGGCGGCATGTGCGTGCGCGTGTGTGGTGGTTGACGGGGGTGGAAGGAGGAAAATGGAGAGTTTACCTCTGTATTGTTTTGATTGGGGATCGTAGCTTGGCTTCAGCTGCGATGACCCCCGTAACTTCCTCGTTGGACGGGGGGTGGAGTCGACTAACTGGCGGTGGCTGGGAAGCCATTGTTTCATCGCCCAATCAGCAGCCACCCGCTCCCCGGCCCGACCCCATTAATAGTGGGGCTTTCAGCTGGGACCGAATCACCTAACATGAAGGTGTGTGTGGCTGACACAATCAAACGGTCACCTCAACAGTAATCTACGGTTTCTGTGGCTGAAAGCTGCCTACCCTAAAGAGCTGCTGCTACCATCTACCTAGGGTTCAGTCTACCAAGACGACATCATTCCTTTTACAGACCAATTTATTCGCAATCCGTCTCATGCTTAAAGCCGACCGTCTACTGCCGGCTGGATTTTATCTTATTGAGGCTGCTTACAGAGCATCCCTCCCCATCTGACTTTGAGCGAAATTAATCTTCGGTTCAGGCGCTTACGCACAGCAGAGCATGGATGCCCTCGGGCCACTTCAGTCTGTCAGTCAGTCAGGCAGGCAGGTCGCATACCCAAGGCCTGCCTGTGCCATGGTTAGGCATATCATAAACCTGACGGCCCATTTTTGTCCACGGCAGCACGCTCTTGACAGCCCCCCCTTTGGCTGGTCTTGACATGTAGTACTACCACAGGATGATGTATGTGTGAGTTGGCAGTCCATGGCCCCACATCAGGCAATCTGATATACCCTGGGCTTGTTTGCCTTACGATCGTCGCCTAAAGTGGCCTAAATCCTCTTGACGAACTCAGGATCCATGGCATGTCGGTTTCCTCCTCATCCAGTCGTTTCCCCATGTTGGATGCGTTATCGATTAATTCATTCATTTCGTATGTTGATTTCCTATTGCAGTTTGCATGCCGATTCGTTCGGTTGGCAGGTGTGGAGTGGAGGGAATGCCGGGATGAGGAGATAACCCAAACTCTATTGATGCTCCCTACCGGAATCGTCACCACACTAATTGTCCATGCCCTGCTGAGGTAAACCCTTGAGCCCAAGTAGCTCTATGCAGTCTCGATTCTATGGACCAAGTTACACAGTTTCAAATAGATGACCGTACTTGTGTCTGATACAACTTTTATCAAGCTCGCCGTTAGGTGTTTCTCTATTTACTGGCTCAACACAGTCTAATATTTCTTGACCAGCAGCATGCCTTTGTTGAATCGTAGTTCCTTAAGCGGGAAAAGAACAAAAGAAAGCATCACCCACCGGCCAATCTATGTCAAATTGCGTATGGCCACCCGTGGACCTTTGCCATTTCCTATAAGGGGGAAAAAGAAACACACTCCTTGACTCCGCGTAATGGATATCCGCGTCATAGCTGTTTGGAAGGGGAAAAAAAAGGAGTGTCAAGTGACGGAAGAAAACGAGAAATGATGGGCACTCTGTTGGTTCAATAATAAAATTATTTCATATCGGTCCATCCATTACTAACATCGCCGGCCTCTGCCAGACCGGCCGTGAGAAGCTCCAGAACCAAGAGAAGGCAGGAAGAGTGGACCGCCTGCCGGACCGTGATCGGGATGCAAGTCGTATAGGAGCGAATGAGAGGTGAACTCCGCCAGCGTAGGAATGTTCTGCACCGGATTCGCGTGTGGGGAATCTGGGCTTGGTGATATTGTTTGCGTCGATGAGCTTGTTCCATAGCCCCCAAAACTATTTCCACCCATGCGTCCTGGACGTGGAATGTTTGGATTCGGCTCAGGCATAGTAGGAGCACTGGGGCCTTGCTGTGCCGCAAGACGAGGTACAGTGGAGGGGGGCGTTGCCATCATATCCTCCCTGTGGAAGTGGCTGTGAGTTGGTGTATGGATCGTGGGGTCCATGTCAGATGGTGCCCGTGGGGGAGGTGTGACCATGATATCTTCCCTTTCAACAGGGGAACGGGAGGGAGACTCTGCGGATTCTCTCATTTGCGCATCTCGGGTGTGTAAAAGCCAGACACGATGGCGTTCTCGCTCCTCGATAGTGCGAGGCACGCCTAGCCTGGCGTAAATAGGTAGGTGTCGTAACTGGGACCTACCCACGTGGAGAAAGGTTTCGAGAAGCTCGTCCGATTGATCGCTCCTAATCAGATCAGCTACAAACTATTTGACTAGAACAGAGCACCATGGCCACGTGGGGGGAAGGTAGGGAAAGGAAAGGAAAGTCGTGGACGTACTCTGATGCATCTCTGGGCATTTCTGCGAAATCAGCAATGGTCAGGTCGGATGCTCTCACCCTGCCAACCCTATCACGACAGTATGGGCAGTTGTCCGACTCCTCCAACCACTTTTTGATACATCGATCACCGAAAACATGCTTGCACTTGGGGAGACGGCGCGGTGTCTCAGCATGGCCCTCAGGGCACTCATCGCCAAAGTCGTTGTAGCAAATGATGCAAGCTATGGCCAACCGCTCATTAGCAAAGCAAGCCCTTCTGCAGGAACCTGTGTCTCGGAAAACATACTTCTTTCATCTTCAGGAAGTTCTGAGATTTCCACTTCCTCGAGTGATAACAAAGCACGCTTGCTCGGTGGCGGCTTGGTTGATACGTAGTGGGCATCGATGTATGTCTCCTCCGTTGCACCAGCCGCGCGAGGGAAGGTCTGCCCTGCACGAGCTGACCAAGGGGCGACCCGTCGCGAGTGGCCCTCGACCCTGCTTCTGCTGGTTGATGCATTGCCAGTTAGACTTCTGTTACTGTGCTGGCGCTCAACCCTACTGGCCTGAGCACTGGTTTGAGAGGACATGTTTCTCCGAGATCTCTGGGACATGAACTGACGCCGACGGTCGAGATTCGGAGGCGAGATGAGCTGTATATTGGACTGTTGTGCGGATGCTGAACAGGGTTAGTAGGAGCAGGTTCACGAGGAATAATCTGTGTGTGGTGGGATGGAGGAGGCAGTCTTATGCGTGACGTGCCCCAAACAGGTGTTCTGCTGGGAGTACATTGTGTTACGGGAAGAAGCGGGGAAACCATGCAGGAAGAGAAAAGAAGGTTCAGAAGGAGGGGCCGTTGAGGAAATTTGATGCTCACCATGCATATTTGTTGGAGGAGGCTGCTGAGGGTTATTATTATACTGCCTCTCGCCCGGCCCTTGCACCTGGACCTGCGGAGCAGAAGGCGCAAGATAGCTGCGAGCCCAGATCGGAGGATAGGAGTGATCTGTATGCAGAGAATTCCGTTCTCGCTCTCGTTCCATGTTCCCATGCTCAGGCTCGGTTGGCGGAAATGGCATCGGGTTCATCTCTCTTGGGACACCAGCCCCAGCACTTGTGGCTGGGTTAGAGATGAAACTCAAATGGTCCCTCCCAGGCGCGGAATCATTAGTTGGTGGCGACGCATGGCCTGGCCGATGGTTTGAGGGCGGAAAGGTCACGGGGAGCAGAGGATGGCTCACCATCCCAGGGAGAGGCCAGGAATCAGTGGGCGGATGCAGTTGCACAAATGGTTGGTGTGCGACGGGAGCGAGCCCGACATTGGCGATTGAGGACGGACCCGGGAGCCTGGAATGGAGACCGGGATACAGCTCGGCCACATGCGTGATGGCCTCTACGACAGAGACGGTGCTGTCTACATTCCCTTGGTGCCGGTGCAGGAAATGTCTCTGGGAAATAATGGACGGGACTGGTCCAGTTGAAGCGTGCACCGGATCATACGGCGTTAGTACAGGTCGTGAGCGACTCTCCGTCTGAGTGCCCGGACGTCGACTCGCATCCATGGCCAGGGAAATTTCCGAGAAGACGACCTTCGCACGTGGGAGCGGCCTTGGACCAGAGGGAGAAGGTAAAGTTTGGCTTTAGAGTAAATGCTCCTGCGGGCTGATGGAAATAGGACAGCAGATGGCTGCTCGTATTCAATTACCAGAGCCAAGTCGTGTCGCCTGCGTGGCCGGTGCCAATCCAAACTCGGCCTTTGTCTGCCTCTCAGAGCACCAGATGGGAGCCGTGGTCTGGAAGAAGGCCTCTCGCTTCCTGGGGGATCCTGGAGGGGTCCGGCTGGTCCAAAACCTATCGAATATTCAACCGAGGGAGTTGTGTCATTCTACAAGAGAGCCAAGTTCACGGTGCGAGGCCTCAACAGGAACCAGATTGAAACCAGCGGTGCAAACGGACGAAGCAGACCAGCGGTGGGCCAGATGGAGGTGCCTTGATGGAGGGGAATGAGGATGACTTGATGATGTCGTTATCGGAGAGACGGTGACGGTGGGTTAGCGCAGCCAGAAGTGGAATGGCTCTTGGCTTATGGGGAGGAGAGGGAAGAGATAAAGAGGAGGAGAGGTCAGCTGGTTTAAGTAGGTCGGTAGGGTGTATTGCCGAGAAAAGCGACGGCGGATCAATGGGAGAGGCGAGCTCTATTCAACAAGGCGCGGAGCGGGCGAACAATGCGAAGAATGGGCAGGCGGTGGTGAATGGAGAAGAGAGTAGAGAGTAGAGGGGAGAGAGGAGGAGAGAGGAGGAGAGAGGAGAGAAGAAAGCGAGAGTGAGAAGAAGGTGAGACGAGGCTGGGATTCAGTTCAAATAGGAAAAGTATTGATTGATTGATTGACTGAGTGAATGAATAATGAGCAAATGGACCGACAGAACGAGAGCCCATGTGGGAAGAATAGTCCAGATCAGGTTGGTGGACTTAGTGCTGGCCGGCGCTGCTGTGCTGTGCTGTGCTGCTCTGCGAGGTCGAAGCGTCCAGGCAAGGGTAATGTGCTCTGGGCCTCTGCACTAGCTGGGCTAATAACGAGGGACGCAGGACATGGGCGGACTGGCGGTTGTTCCCCTCATTGATGTCGAGGCGTCAAAGATACCCTACCGTCTGTCTGCCTTCAACCGCTAGGGCAGGGAATGGAGGGGTGAGGAGGGGGCTTGGGACCTGACCTAGGCAGGACCTAGGAAAGGAATGCCCGCTGGCTGGGAGGAGAGAGTCTAAATCACTGCAAGCACGCACGGAATTGCCGACTGGGCGAGAGGAGAGGGCCGCGGGGAACAGGGCCAGCCAGGGACGACGCCGGCGGATATGTGACAGACGAATGGCAATTGTCGTGCTGGATGACGGTAGGTACGGTTACAGGATGACGGCTTAGCGTGTGGGAGAAGGCCACAAGGGCGCGGTGAGGCGAGGGCAGTGACTTAATTGTTGCGGAAGCAACTTATTACTAGGCATTTGAGAGAGCAAATGACCAGATCACGGCGGCAGGCGGGCGAGCGGTGGGGAGGGGGGGAGGGGGGTGGACAAAAGCCAGGTGAAACACCAGAGTGAATGGATGGATAGGCAAAAGCAGGAAATGAGGGAGAGGCGGCCCAGTCGCTCCGTGTGGGAACGAGCGAGCAGCAGACGCATCGTACCGGCCAACAAGCTGGGGGGCCAAGGGTAATAAGACATCAATCAGAGACATGCAAATACGATCCGGGAACCTCGAACGGACTGAGCCGCATGCGCTCATTGCATGGATGCTGGTGACTGCAGGCAGACGGACCAGCAGGCGACGGCGTAGTAGGTCACAGCTGTGGTGGGCGTATTATAGATACGTGCGTGCGTGCGTACATATGTGAGCCAGAAGGTAGAGCGAGCAACGGGCCGGGATGGGAGGGAGTGCGAGCATTGGGACCAACCCCGTCATCACTGCCCACTCTTACCACGGGGCCAGACAATGGACCCTCGGGCCCGGGAAAAAAGACGAGGCAAGGCAGGCAAGGGAAGGGAAGGGTAGGAAGGGTAGGAAGGCCAGGGAAAGATGGGCTCACCGAGACGGAAATGAGATTAGATGATAATATAGGTAGGTAGCCATGGCGAGAGGAGAGGCGAGGCGCCTGGCGATACGGCGGCCGGTGGGAGACACAGCTCAAGTCCAATTCTGGGCAGACCAAGACCTGACCTGGCAGCGAGTCAATCTCGTCCACCTGGACAGACAGACAGCCGATCAGCGATTGGGGACGACTTGGCGCATACAGGGCCAGACTGGCTGAGACCTGACTGGACAGCTGAACTAGGCGCCTCCGTGGACCCAGAAGCATCGGTAACCAAACCAGGAGGGGACAAAGTGCGGAAACCGTGGAATCAATACTCCATACACGGTGGTCAATGTGTGGGTGACGGGAGCAGCCATGTGAGCAGCCTCTTTTCGTGCTCGCTCGTCACTCGGCGACGTATCCGATGGATACATGGAGTTAGCGGGGCGCCGTGGTTGCGTGTGTGAGCTCAGCGCTGGGGAACGGGATATTCGAGGTGTGATGAAGGGCAGGTAGTATGTACGTATGTATGTATGTAGCTTGTATGAATAGGGTGTGACGGTGGTCCAGTCCAGCTGAAAAGCGGCAGAGGTCTGTCTATAAAATGACGGATGTGTTATGTAGGCGGTGGATTCATGTGGCGGGGGACTTTGCTGCGACTAGAAGCTGGTAGCGCAGGGCAGCAAAGTGACTGCTGACTTGTCATGAGCTGATATGACACAGCTTCGCTCTTGCTAACCGACTAAGTTAGCTCCTTAATAATAACCATCAATCCCTGCGGTCGTCTTCGTTTCCATGTCCTCATTCTTCCGTTGCGGCTTGCCTGGGCGAGGCAGGGAGGTTGATGTGATGGCTGGCCGGCACAGCGGTAATCGGCCAGCTGTTGTGGTTGTCGGTATGAGAATGAGCATGCACGGGGATAGTGATAGTCTCGCAGCGACATGATTAATACTACCCCAGGCTCGTAACTCTCACCCACACCCACCGTCCATGGTCAATGGTTGAGAGAGGCAGGGAGACAATCCGGATTGAGCAGCATGCATCTGGCTGCATGCTGTATCAATGTGCGAGAAGGTCTGGTGCAGGCTCTACATGATACGTGGTGCTGTGCACATCTGTGCCACTTCATAATTGTTTGCCCATTCCAGTCTCTCTTTCCTCATGCTGTGAGAGGCTGGTCCATAATCCCTAATAACCGACCCGACACAGTGATCAGTTGCTGTGATTGGATTGGTCCGGCCGCGCGATGGGGCTTCAATTGTTGTCCCGACCAACTGAAGTGCACTGTACCTCAGGCGCTGTACAGGCCCACCCGGTCCCTATTGTTGCCCCGTGGCTTGCATTGATCAATTTCCCCATTGGCGCCAGCCGCCTCGAGCATTACTTCAGCCAAGGTCAGTCTTACTTTTTTTCGCAGTAAGACCCTTCTTTATGGCCTCCTCCCGGGGAGTACGACTAGGAATGAGCTAGAGCAGAGGCGGAAGGGGAACCCGAAAAAGAAATCAGAACAAGAATCGCGTATTGATCGCTCCTTTGAGAGAGCGAGTTAGGGTGGAATGGGTGCTCATCCGTTTGGTCGTGTGAGGACTCTCAACACTCGTTACTCAAGGTTCTTCATACTCTTCTGCTAACACGCCTATCTCGCTCTAGGGTGAAGTGAAGCACAAGCTCAAGATATCCCTTGATTTGGCGTCGGAACCTACCGTGCTGTTAGACCTGGATGCACCGCCATGTGATGGACGAGTATTATCTAGATACACCCCTGGATTTTCTTTTTCAGGGCCCAAGGTAAGCCCATTGACGCCATTGGCTTATTCTATTTTCTAACTTTTCCTGCACAATTCAAAACTGATACTTGCCTCCGAAGCGCTTATTCACGACCAGCGAGATTGGGCTCAATGTGATCGATCGCTTAAGGCCGCTATTAACCCCTCTTTACCGTAACCTACAAGGTACTGGCACACACAGTACCTCCTGTCATGATCCTTCAGCCAGAAGTTTATGGGAGGATAAATGTACCTGCAAG